TGGCCGCCGCAGTGGGTATCCCGATGGTTGTCCGACAACGGCGGCGATGACGACTTCGGCGACGGCTGGCGACGGCGGCGACGACGACTGCCTTCTCGACGACGACGACGACGACGACGACGACGACGACGACGACGACGACGACGACGCGCGCCGACGCCGACAGCGCAGCAGCGAGGGGCCCCCCTGCGCAGGTGCCGGATGCCCCGCGGCGGACGGGGCGGCCCCCGGGGCGGGCGGCGAGGATGTGCGGGAGGTCCTCCGCGGGGGCGGCTTCGTCGCAAAGGTTGCGGACTTCAACACGGCGGTCGTCTGCGAGCCGCCCGACTGCCGCATCTGGGACGCGGAGGGCACTCAGCAGTTCACCCCGCCGGAGCCAAGGGCGGCCAGAAGCCGAAGGGGAGCTTTTTCGCAGCCTCATCCTCTCCGCTCCCCTCCGTCCTCCCACCCCCCCAGCGCCTCATCCTCCTCCTCGTTCTTCCTCACTCGCCACCATCCTCGCTCCCCGCCGCCCCCCCCTCGCCGCAGAAAGCTGCGTGCCCGTCGTAGACGTGCTCGGCGAACAACAAAACTGAATTCCCGCCTTGCCTCCTGCTGCTGTCCCCTTGTTCCTATCTCCAGCGCAACAGAACCTCGTTAACCCCGTCCCTCCTCCTGCTCTCTCCTTCTCCCTCCCTCCCCCCACGCACAACCATGTCCCGTGGCCATGTGCTGGCCCTTGAGGAGTGCTTCGACCCGTGCAGGGACACGGCCGTGGGCATCCTGGGCCAGCCGCGGGACGTGTGGTCCTCCGGCCGCGTGCTTCTGGGGATGTTCCTTCCTCCCCCGTCCTCCCCGTCCTCATCCTCCATCCTTGTTCCATTAATGCAACTCATCCTTTCCCCACCCCCAGACGGAGACGTTTCGGCATGGCGGGCCAGGCTTTCTGCCTGATATTTCCGCACCATCTATGATCCTGCAGCTTGAAACGCGCAGCATTTTCACGATGCTTCAAGGATAGGGGGGCGGCACGTTTTCAAAACGTTGTCCTCGCCTTAGCGCCACACACACTCGTCGTACGCCAAGGATTGAAACAGCTTCAATGATCGAGGGCGGTTCGTTTTCAGAATGTGGCTCTCGCCTTAGTGCCACGCGCATTCGTTTCACAAGGTTGCAACATTGTAACGGGTGAAGGGCGGCTCCTTTTTGAAATGTGGCTTTCCCTTAGCGCTGCACGCATTCGTTGTCAATGTTCTTAAACAAACTTGTTAAACATGTTCTTATGGTTGAAGTCCTAGGAGTAGCGTTCTGGCGCGAGGTAGGATTGCCAAGACGCAGCAGTCACGTTGAGACGCGGTGTTGGTGTCCCAAGAACGCGTTCTGACACGAATCAAACTTTCCAGGACGCAACAGTCACGTTGATTCGCGGTGCTGATGTCCCAGAAATGATGTTTCGCTACGGTTTGGGACTCTCTAACCTATGCTTTCAATGGTGCGCTTCCAGCGATGAGAAACGTCGTGGAGCGCCCAAGGGAGCTGGAGAAGTGGGACGGGCCGAAATGGTGGGCAGTTGGGAACAAGCGTTCTGACCAATGCGCAGCATTGGGAGCGGAACAAGAAGCCGTTGACCAGCAAACCATCGCAAGGCAGCAGATCCCCAACCAGGGCACCACGGCAGTGCAGAACCGCCTGCTCAACATCAACATGGAGGTGGAGGCCGTGGATTCAAACGAGGAAGGCAAACGGACCAAGGCCCCGAGGAAGAATCGCATTACCGTCAAGAAGACTGTTGCAGCCCGAAGGCATGAACTCCAGAAGTTGCATCCGAGGTGGTGGTGCACAAGATGCAGATCGGGGCCATAACCAGGACAGCTTGCAAGGCAATGTTTGGAACAGAGGCAATTGCCCATGAGCTCTCGGCCTAGCCGGGGACGGACAAGGCAAATTGAGGCCCAATCGCACCGCCATCATGACAGGGAAAGCGGCTCATGTACGAGACCCACAAGACGCAGTACCTAGGGAGGGATATGGTGCGACAGGCGTGGAGGAACCAGCAGCCTGCAGGACCATCGCAGCCGAATCGCCGCAGGCGTGGCGAAGAAGCTGGGCATGCCATTCCAGCCGCCCACGAGGGGAGACCAGTCGGTCCTCAACTGCATGCGGAGTGGAAGAACCCCAATGAGCAAGCAGGAGACCCACGCCACAGAGGCTCAGCAACAATGAGCAGTACAGTTCAAGAGCAGCCACGAGGACGGCACTCACTTCCACAGGCTGGGACCCAGCAGCAGCCAGGTGTTTGACCTTGAAGAGGAAGATCATGGTCAGCCGCAACCCAAGTCAACACAGAGCGCTAAGGAGACACTTCCTCCACATAATGCCAGCGAGGCCGGCTCCAGAATGGTGGACCACCCGGAGGGCTACGGGGAGCAGTGGATGCATTTGGTCGAAAACCGCATTTGGGACGACTACCATGTCCGGTTGGAGTAGCGTACCCCATACGTGAGGGAGATCAGCACGGACG